TAACTTTGATAATATTAATACGTAGGACTAATATTAAGTTAGGGTGGTTAAGGAGGTTGGGTGATCTGGCTGACATATGTGGGGCGGTTAGAGTAGACGGGTTACATGATTTGGCTGACACAAGGGGGGGGTCGGTGACATGGCTAACTTTGATAATATTAAGTTAGGGTGGTTAAGGAGGTTGGGTTATGTAATTGGGTGATCTGGCTGTCATGTGTGGTGGTGACATGGCTAACATATATGGGGTTATCAGGATGGTTTGGTTACAATTACTGCACGTTGTGGCTGTGGTTGCGTTATAAGAATGACAGTCAAATCCAACCATTCGATCACACAAGAGTTAGCAGCAGGTCCTGTTCAACCGCTGCCTTTCTTCTTATCTATCAGATCAAAATTAGGGACGGCCAGTGCGAATACTCGAAACAAAACAAACTAATTTTAAAAGGGGGGGGGGAGTAAAACCTTTCATGTGACTCAGTGGTATTTAAGGTTCAGTTATACAATAATAACTCCAAATACGAATAACTGTTAGAAAAGAAATAACATAAACGAGAGATTGCGTTACTCAGTTACCATTATTTGAAACCTTGACATTTATAAATTACCATTACCAAGTAAGAAAACAAATAAGAGGGTTGTGATTGATTGATTGGGGTCAGCGTTGCCTGAAGGCGCCGATTATATCATATTTTGGTAAGTGGTGGTCAAAGGTTAAGGTTATATCGAATGATTACACATGATTCAGATAAAATAAGAACCGAAACGGGCTCGCGCGTGTGCTTCTGTTGGTTTTTTTTAGGGCACATTGAAACCTTGTCTTCACGCGGCCTTAACGGAAAGCTGTCAAGGACTCGCAGACAGAGCTCTTTCGGCAGTCGTGCTCACGTGCAGTAATATTATAATATATATATATACACATATGTATAACATTTGCCTGTTTTCTATCTGTCAAAATGCAGGAGCCTGGTGGTTAGGGTGCTCGACTCCGCAATCTGCGGATCACGAGTTCGAATCCCCGTCACCGAACATTCTCGCCCTTTCACCCATGGGAGCGTTATGAAGTGATAGTCAATCTCACTATCCGTTAGTAAAAGAGTAGCCTAAGAGTCAGCGGTGGGTGGTGTTGACTAGCTACCTTCCCTCTAGTCTATCACTGCTAAATTAGGGAGGGCTAGGCTAGCGCAGTTAGCCCTCGTGTAGCTTTGCGCGAAATTCAAAACAAACCAAAACAAATATGGCAGTTAGGTTTAGATACAAATAGTAATTGACATCAGTGGTAGTAGAAAGATACTACTAACTCTTCTAAGCATTTAAGTGTTTCTAGGAATTTTTTTTTT